AAATTATACTGCAGGATGATTAGTGTTACAATACTAATCGTGTAATCCTTTCGAAACGAAAACGCATTTCGAAATTGCGGCTGACATTTAATTAGTTAACCACCTGATCTTCATCGAAAGACCTTATTGAAAGTATAGGCAGATCAAAACCATCGTGTGCATGCCCTGTTATGTTTTCTTTCATATCCACTATATATGTTGCATATAACCTTATCCTTTCGCATATAACATTACACACGAAAATGTGTTCATGAGGAGCAGCATTCACAATATCAGTGTTTCCTGACTGATTTAAACGGATTTAAATTTTATCCCTGTAATCTTCAGAAGACAAGTGCGGCAAACGCATTGAATACAGACAAATTATACGAAATACGGTTTATTGACTACTACAGAGTCATATATAGTGACCGACGTCTAATTTGCTAACTCCTGTATACTTTCTCATATCGGATATGTACATACCTTCATTAACCATGTTTATTAAAATATTTGGACATATTGCCAACTGTCTTTTAATCTTTTGCACGCCTTCGTCAAGCCTCGCAAATAGAAACGCATGACATATGTTTGCTGATGATATAATTGTCAAATTACATAGTTCTAGTCATTTGAAAGGTGAAGATCTTTGGGAAACAGCAAAATTTTATTGTGCATTTTGGAGACTGGTTCCCCAGCTCTTCTTCTGACAACGGGTGTGCAAAAACAATTAACTTCTAGACAGAGTTTGACAAAAGGATTCTATGATTGGTCGATTTTGTATGTGGCATCTAAATCGATATGCCGGTTGATGCATGCCACATCTGAGTGCATTGCCTACTGGAGTTCGCGGCCGTTCCTTGCTTGGCAGGCGCCAACAATGCGAGTTTTTTCACAAGCGAATTTATGTCCAGTGTGCAGTGTGTGCATGGCCACCTGGGATAGATGGTCGCGTCTCTTCACCGCAAACTGATGCGCATGTATACCGGTAAAGACAGATTTCCCTGTATGGCCACAATAAACGGCATCACAACTAGAACATGGGATTTTGTAGACAACACCTTTTCTTTCGAGGTAGCCAACCATGTCCTTAGGGTGCACAAGCTGTGTGCGTAAGGTTGTTGCCGGCTGGAGTGCTACGTAAAACAGGTACTTTTTCAATTGTCTTTCGACAAGTTCAGATACATTTTTGACGTATGGGAGAGTCCGCCATGTGGTTGGTTTTAGTGCCTGAGCGGCCGTAGCATTGGAAATATCTTTTCCATTGAGTTGCTGATGCCACATGCATTGACGTATAAAGTCATGCGGGTACCCATTTTGGGAGAACAGTTTGTAGAGGTATTTCATTTCTGCTCGATAACTTGTTTCATCATAGCAGTGAGTTTTGGCTCGATTCAGAAGGCTGTAGACTGTACTCCGTTTGTGAGAGACAGAGTGGCTACTCTCAAAGTGTAGTATGACCTCTGAATACGCCTCTTTGCGATAAACTGATGTCTGGAGTGATCCGTCGGTTTTTCGACGTACAAGGACTTCCAGAGTTGAGTTTTCGGAGTTCTAAGTAAGTGAATTTAGTTGGCGAAATAGCCACTTCGAGATCTTATAGTTGGGAGCACCGATTAGGGAGACTATCGTTCGCAGCGGAATATCAGTTTTATGAATTTTAGGAAGACCATATATCCTGGAAATTGTTGGTTCATCCAGCTTCAAAGACGTGGCAGGAACTCCTGTGATTAATTTCCTACCCGAAGGCGTTTCAGTGTTTTTTCAATATGTGCGTTTGTGATTTTGTGGGGTCGGCAGAAAGAGGTTCGTACGCTGAATCATCTTTTAAAAGTGACATCATTTTGTATGTGTAGTCCGTTTTGTTCAAAACAGTGGTGGCACCTCCTTTGTCGGCAGGTAGAATGATGATATCCTTGTCTTGTTTTAGAACTTTAAGGGCATTCTTTTCATCGTGAGATAGCGTTGAGAACTTTTTTCGGTACTTCAATGCCCTTACAGTGCTGCTGCGAATGGTGACTTGTTCTTCTTCGGTAGGACTGGTTGATGATATGATTGCTTCGAAGCTGGCAAGTAAGTCCAAGTAGTTGGAGTCAGATGGATTGTACTTCATACCTTTGCACAGCACATGTTCCTCTGTTGCCGTTAGGACCCTAGAGGATTGGTTTACGATCTTCTTTGGACATGTAGCATTAATATAACTTTTACAAGAAATAATTGTCCACTTTTTTTGCAAGGTGCTCCTCTTTTTTATCCGTTCTAGTTCTGCGACTTGTATGGTGGTTTCCTGTAGGATCTCAAACAATTGAATAGGCTGTTGATCATGGCAAAATTGCATGTAGCGTTCTTTTTGCTCTTTGAATTTACGAAGTCGTTGATGCGCCTCGGTTATAAATGCTCCAAGCATTTTTTGGCCAAACCGGGTAGGAATCTAATAGTCATGAGATGACGTTAATGCTCCTTTCACCTTCACAGACTTTGGTAGAATCCTTTTGCTTAGACATCGGTGTAAGAAGGATAATTGTTCCCGTGTCAAACTTTCGCGAATAGCACATTTTTCTCATCGTCGTGCATAAAACAGAACACACCGCCCAAATTTCATACGTATAAATTTAAGGGAGCTGCCACTTCATATCTTGACGACGCAAAAAGCATGAGACCGTTTTATCGCTTTGTAAAATCTTGGATTATGTTTCATGAAATTACTGTTGTAAATATCAAGGTATATCTTGTTCAAGATGTGAGGCATCACATGCAGCATACGGACGGCATCGCCGCCAGACATCTGGTCCACGTGAGTTAGCCGAAAGCGAGCATGTCCAAAGACGTCATCATAAGAAAAACCGAATAATGTCGAATTAGAACCAAGGTTTTTTTCCCCGGAAACGCAATTTGCCAGTTTGTCGCTTATAATAATGTTGAACGAATTATTCACATGCCATAGCACTAGGTGTTAAATGACAGAAAATAGCTCCAATAGAAATAATTTCATCTTTGTTGGAAAAT